GAGTCCAAATTAATCAGTGATATAGCGGGTGCGACGGGAATATTATTGGTGGGCGACAGAAATTGAAAACGATTGATAAGAGCTGATTAACGGCCTTATAAGGGCAGATTCAGAAAATTCATAACTCGCGTCACCGCAGCGGCGGAATGTTGGTTCTAAGAAGTGATATAGTGGGCTGGACGTAAACATCATTGGCGGCTGGTAGGAGGGGGTAACAGCTGATAAGATAGCACAGGAAGCCTTAGAAAGGGAGAGTCACCAACTTTATAGCGCGGGCCACAGCAACTGTAGGACGTTGGTTCTAAAACGTAAGAGGGGGACAGGATGGAACATTATTGGAGGGTGACAGGAAGTGATAATAGCTCATAAGGTACCGTAGAGAGGATCAATAGGGGAAGCTCATCAGCTTCATAATGTGCGTCGCAGTGACGGTAGGACTTGGATGCAAGCAGTGATATACAGTGTAGGAGGCAGGATGGGAATGGTGGGTTAGAGGGGAAGCCCCAAAATCAATGGGCAAATGATAAGTGAGCCAAGATATTCTATTCCTCAGCGATATAGTCGAAATTGATTCGACCGCTAAACTCTAGGGTTACACCCCAAAGTTAAAGTCTAAAGATGTCTGTCAGTGAGGAATGATAAGAGCCACCAGCAGACGGGCACGTGAAAGCTGCTCAAGGAAGCGCTAGGATATAAGGAGCTTTCACTAAGATTTCGATATTGTTACCACCGAAATTCTTTCAACCGCTAAGCTGTCCTATTTCCAACGAATGGTGAGTGTTTTTAGAAATGTGATAAGCACCAGACATTGGCAAACGTTCATTTAAAAGGAGAAATATGATGAAATGGGCCCTATTCCAAGAAGTGGGAATTGGGCAAAGTGTTAGTGGTCAGCACGAAAATCCTATCAGTGGTCAGTACCATAGGTCTGGCCATGCGCGCAGTGCGCCCCAGCGCATAAGCTGGATATGTCACACGATTACAAAGCACACCTCTGCCATTCCCTATGCATTCACTACAGCATTTCATGCACCGATAGCTCGAGAAACACATTGTTGTATAATGACAGCAAGGACTTTAAACAGTTTAGTATTCGAGAGGTCGAACTAAACAACGCGCGCGGTGTGTGGCGATTCTATCGTCGATGATAAGTAGGTCGCCGCGCTGGTGGGCGCCGCGTACGAGTCCTGCTGCGTCGTGCTCGTTCAAATTGTTGAAATGATCATCAAGCCATATTGTTTATGTTATCCTGTACTGCTTTTTCCCATTTCCTAGTGATGATCAATGATTGTTTTTTCCGCATTCAAAAGTAAAGGGGTGTAAGACTGGTCCCACGTTATTTGTTCAAAATTACTGATCCAATTTTGGGCTTTTCGGAACTTGTGAATACGCGGTCTTCGAGACTCATTTGTATGTCGGTAATGCAACTCCGGAATTGTCGCACCGCGGCCGCGGGCCGAGAGACGCCGCCTGACTTGCCCGACGATAGAATAGGCCGGCGGGTCCCCCCTAGCAGCGGTAGTACGGGGGGGGGGCAAAAAAAGTCACTTCGACCGAGTCACATATCAGCAAAGTTTTCGCTGCCCAGACAGAGGACGTGGATACGAGTACCAGGGCGGAAGATACCCAAGATGTTCCTCTATAAGCAGGAGCTGGCTCTCGCCCATCACCTTCATGTACACCAAAATATGAAGTCATCTCCAGTCGCAGCCTGACTGGAGAAGACCTTTGGAATTCATGTCACTGGTCCAACGGCAGCTGCGAAACTTCTAGGGCATACGGAGGTTCACCCATGGATAGCTTAACCCTTGACGCAGTAGCTCTCGGATCTGGATGACCTCGCAACATCGAGGGGCAGGCTCCGACAAACGTGCCACGGTCTAAGGATCAGTCATCTTCACCGTAGTCGTCGGCCGGCGGGGTTGATGTATGGGACCGAAGCGTATCTGGAATGCACCGGACCGATGGAATGGAAAGACCAATATTTTCTTCGTGGACCCCGGACTGAAGGTGAGCGCTGGCGGTTACATCGAGCAACTCGTGAAGAATATCCTCCTCACATGTGGTCGCCCGTACCTTCTTGGAAACTTTGTACTGCTACAGCATTGAGTGCCACCACATGAAATCGAAGGGCGTTGGAGAAACACTCGCCTACTTGGAATGGAAGGGGGCTGAGTACCTAAAGAAGATGGAATATCCAAGTAGGTCACCTGACCTGAACCCCTCAATTACCCGGTTCGGGCGGAGTTCAACAGGGTGGTCTACAGTGGCGGAGAAATCAACGATCTCGCTGAACTCAGGCACCACTCACGGTCGCGTGCCAGAATCTCTCGATGGCGCTCGTCCAGAAGGCTGTGGCGGAGTGTCATGATAGTATTTAATATGCTCTTCAATATGGTGGTAAAAATGTCCGATCAGAATTTGATAAAGTGTAACTTATAGCGCCTCGAAAGTCAATGAAGAAAAGTGACTTTTTTTGCCCCCCCCCGTATTACACAACGGAACAGCAATTTTCAAAACTTTACTTTTTGAAGTAGTAGAGTTATATCGTCCAGCCGAAGAGCTATTGTGACATCTCCATCCGTTTTATGCAAACGTATCGTGGAAAAATACCTGTTCGATGCTTACTCTGGCAGCTATCTTCTTACTACTGTTGGATCTTTTTAACAGATCTCACATACCCCAATATTGTTTCGTCAGTTGTAGACCTGATGGTATTTTACGTTGTCTTCTATTTCCATAGATGATAACATGATGACATTCGGGACACGGGTGACTGTCTGCTCTTCAGAAGTGCCTCACAGGCTGGTAGGGGGGGGGGCAATAAAAAGGTCACTTCTCTCTCCGACTTTCGAGACTTGGGTATAAGATACCACTTTATCTAATTTATGTTTGATCGGACATTTCACTACCATAATTGAGAAGCATATAAATAGGCTATCAAATGATACTGCCGCCACAGCCTTCGAAGAGCGCCCAGTTCGAGAGGATTCTGGCCAGCTTCGACGCGTGAGTGGGTACCTGAGTTCAGCGAAATAGGTGATTTCTCCGCCACTGTAGACCACCCTGTTGAGCTCCGCCCAAACCGGGTAACGAGTGGGATTAGGTCAGGTGACCTACTTAGATATTTCATCTTTTTTAGGTACTCAACGTCCTTCCATTCCAAGTGGACGAGAACGTTTCCAGCGCCCTTCGAATCCACGTGGTCGCCCAATCCTGTAGCAGTACAAAGTTTCCAAGAAGATACAGGTGAACGACATGTAGCGAGGATATTCTTCTCGATTGCTTGATGTAGAGCGCCGCCCGTCACCGTTGCAGTCGCAGGGCTTACGACAGAAAATATCGTCTTATGCGGCCCATTGCAGTAGCCGGTTAGGTCCATACCATCGACCCGCGCACTTGGCGACTGCGGGTGAAGGATGATGTCGCTAGACTCGCAGCCGACGTTGTCGAGCTGCTCGAGTGTTGAGGTCCGCATCCAGATCTAGAGTGATCTCGGTTCCAGGTCAACTATTCGCATGGCGACTCCATACTAGAAGTTTCGCAGCTGTTTGGAGGTGACATGAATTCCAAAGGTCTTCTCCAGTCAGGCTGCGATTGGAGGTGACTTCATATGTTGGGTGAGCACGTGATACAGTGAAGTGAATGGCGCGAGAGCCAGCTGGCTTCGGGCTCTTATAGGAAGGAACACTTGGTATCTATCTGGCACTGGTACATCGCTCACGTCTTCTGTCTAGGCTGGGCAAAACAACTATTGCTGATATGTGAGCTCGGTCGAAGTGGCTTTTTTTGGCCCCCCCCCCCCCCTGTATACGTGATCTGGCTCTTTTGGGATAAGGTGTGACTTGTTTTTGCTTATGACGACTTCATTATCGGAAAGCTCGTGCGTGATACAGCTTCCGTTAACAAGGTTGACCATCTAGTCATATCGGCTACGGACGCCGACAAGTGTCAGAACACTGCGTTTGGTGCGACGCCCGTACAATGACTTTTTTAAGTATCTACTAGATTGACTCACCGGTTTTTGACCACCAGGGCAACCATCCAATATGTGCATGCGATTAAAACATGATAATGTATTCCCCAACTCCAATGCACAACCATGCAAAGTTGCCGACTTTTTTGAAGCCGACACTTTTGCCAAACGGCGACACTCTGCTGAAAGAGCCACAACGCTGTGCTGTGTCCTACAAGTGAGATAGGCTGTGCGCAGCCTATCTCACTTGTAGAAAAGAGCCCCTCTCCTTCTCACTACATGGCTCACATCATGCATCTGCTTTCATTAATCAGTAACAGTCTGCAACCCATCTAACTCCTCCTGACCAGGTCGTAGACATCTCGGAGTTATCTTCAGAGGGAGTTGAACCACATCGTGGAGTAATCTTCAATGGGTTGAGTGGTTTGATTTTCATCATGAGTGGGCTAATCTTCAATCTCTCCTTTGATGAATTCTGGAATGCATTCCATTCATTCCATTGCCTTTGAATCTTTTTTCCTGTGATTGTTGATGCGGAGTAGGATTTAGGGCTGTCATGAATATGTGTACACTGGTGATCTATGCAAACGGTTGGGGCGTTTGACGCAGCACGGCCAGGTGTAGCATCGTGATCTGTGAAATGGTGTTCTAGGTACGACCCCCCCCCACCTCCGAGAGAGGGTGTCAGTACGACACCCCCCCCCACCTGAATGGGGGCCTAACACCTACGTACCAATTTCCCACAAATTCCAGTTTTTCACCCAAAAATTTTCCGTCGAGCGGGGTCAGAAGGGAAGAGGTGCATAGCGAATGTGAAACGGGAAAAATACACGAAAAGTCAACAACCAGGGAAAATTTTTTCCCAACGCAGCAAATTTCTCTCAAAGGCACATACGACCCCCCTCTCCCAACGACCAAATACGACCCCCCCCCATGTGTTTCACACAAAGATGCTGTACCTTGAGCACGGCTGGACTCGCAGCTAGGACGATTGTTCCAGCATCATCCTGAGTCTGCTACAGTTGGTGACGAACCTGCTTTGTACTGTCTGCCAGGATCTGTCTGTGCTCTTCTAGCTCGCAACTTCTATATATCCTATTTGCTTTCCATCGAGACTGACCAGTGCCCCTTCGGCCTGCTTATGCAGACGACATCAGCCTAAATGTCTTCTTCATACGGGTTCTTATCCGCACGTTGTTGCCGTGTCTGGTTTTTTGAGCATTCCTTTCAAGCCCTTGAGGGCCTCTGGTAGCTTTCCAACGTTTGCAAAGTGTGTAGCGATTATATCTTGTTTGCTTTTCAGGAAGTAGACTGTTTCATTCTCCGAATATAGGTTGAGAATGTTGAAACTGGTGAGAGGTATTGTTAGTGCGATTCTAGAGATTTCACAGCCTTCGTAATGCTCGTTTCTTTTGTGTAAGAAGCGTATAGAAAATGAGATTTTTATGTGGTACCTGTATGGACTGCATCACGGTCCAATGCGGTTTTGGTGGTTCATTGGTAGAAATGTGGCAACAGTTCTAACTTCTAATCTTTATCTACATGAATAATAATGCGACACAGATACCATAATATAACTACAAGGGATCTAACATAGGGTTACCGAGCCTTGCTGTATGTGAGCCGTCCCGCGGCGTAGTGTTTCTCGTCTCCATCGTAGTATTGGGCGTCTGATATCCGCCGGGGGTCCGCCGGCTCGTAGTGTCCTCGACATGCGAGGTTAGCTGCAAGTAGTGTAAGGTCAGAGAGGTGAGAGAGCTTAAGAGAGGAACCCGCCACTCGCGGGAGACGAAGTGAAGAACTGAGCCTCGCTCCTCTCTGGCAGCGGTATTTATTGACCCCAAAAGGGGCAGGCACCAACGGTGATAGGGGTGCCTCCTCGATATCATGACCGAGGGTCATGACACTCCGCACAACGACAACAGTCATAATAAACCTGTCTACGTATTTTGCCTTTGGCATCCTCCCCGCCGGCGAATGGAAAAGAGATTAGTGTTCGTATGGTTGGTAGTATTAGGGTGATAA